GGGTGGTGGGTTGCCACGCATTAAATAGCAACTCGGTTGTCAAATAGCTTCACCCGAAGACAAGGTATCATAAATAGAACGTGCAAAACAGACATCCAGGAGTGCCATAAACGCCGAACAAACGCTCACTCAGGTCCCAAGGAGTGCCATTGACAATACAATAGTTCAGAAAATGAAATTTGGTACTAGTTTTCAAATGTGAAAGCTCAGGTGCGTCTAGGTGAGTCTTGTCCCTAGCACTCCATTTTCCCTTAAATTCGGGAGCTGTGATCGCTTAAAAGTTACTTGTGATACCTTATTCTCCATAACGTTCAAAATTAAAACTCGGTCACTACCACATGGCTAAACTTTTGGGACCTCGAATAACCTTGCCACTTTCTCGATCTCCCTTTCACCAACCTGTATTCGTGTCTAAGTTGCCCTCCATCCTCCCTCTCAGTCAAAGGTGAACATGTCAGCAGATCGTGAGATTAGCTTCATCCCGAAAAAAATAGAACTTATCTCAACTAGCTTAAAACCAATTAACGAATCCAAATAATAACTAACACTTAGTGATGCTTAACTTAAATTAAGTTTGATTTAGCAAAAATATATCAAATGCCCACAGCCGGGATCGAACCGACTACCTTTTGCTTACTAGGCAAACGCTCTACCGGTGAGCTATGCGGGCAGCTAAGTTAACTTAACTTCGAGAGCTCATTGGCTCGCTTCGGATGAAAGTTTGCTTCCCACCACTATGTTATCCTTGGATAATCAAATTACATTATTTCCTAACAATATGTTATTTCCAAACGAGAGATTTTTTTTCAGTTTTTCTGGTTCGTTGGCAACCTGAGCTCGGAAACTCTACATGCCCACGTGAGGCCCTCGTTAACAAAAAAAAAAAAGTTGGCAACCTGAGCTACTTTTTTTAATTTTTTTACCTGCCTTTTTTCAAAGGTTCTATTCGCTGGTGCACACCCGCCAAACGTGGGCTGCTATGGTAGTCGGATTGCCTGCGACGGCCCTAGTGCCTACTGACTATTCTAGCGGAAATAGATTGTTTAAAAAAAAAAAGATAAAAAAAGTAGGCGACCAACATCCTGGTGCGCAGATCGACGCTGCGTCGGTTGATACCTCCTTGCCTGTAGGATTAGGAGGTGATGTGATAATGAGGTGAATCCCATTCCAGTAACATTCGAAGTCTTGTATTTTTATTATTTTTGACTGGCCTACTTGCAAAAGCTTTATTCACCGGCGCGCACCCGTCACACGATCCACCGATATGGTCACCTACAGCTTCGGCTCTGCAACAAAAAAGAGGAGAACGGAGGGGAAGAAAAAATTTACTCTCTTGAGCTGTTTTTGGACCAAGCGAATATACCCTCCGCGAGAAGGCCAGTAAAAAAAACCATACTACTACAAAGTCTTTTTTTT